TGGGCTCGGGTCCTTCCCTCCGTGCGAACTCTGAATATGTGATGATCAAACCGTGAAAGACGGAGGTGTTCGAAAAGTAGTAAAGGATATTCTAGCGCTTTGCGGCGGGTCGTCAGGACTTCGGAGAACGCATCCCTTGGGCAGGTCGCGTCGGGTGGTTATGACACTGCTCCATGGCTTCCAAAGAGTTTTGGAACATCCCGAAAATACTCCACGGCTAGGTGCCAGCCAAGTAGCGGTCAAAGGCGTCCTATACTTTTTAGCCACCCTGTACAGTTATGGCCAAAAAAGTGACGCTTGACTCCGGATCCATATTGGCATCATATTTTGCTAAGTTTGAACCGAACACTTCTTACTGAGACTAGAAGCACATTCCATTCTCTTTTATTTTTTTCGAGGTAAACATTCATAATAGCCTATCGTACACTGACGACATAAAGGGCATATCTGTTACGAATTCAAAGCTCAGCGGTCCTATACGTGTCGTGGACCATACGAATTCATCGGTAAGGCTGGGTCAAAGACGGTGTCTGCATAGTTCGAGCTGTTCCACCTTATTGCTCTGGAATAGTTATCCACTCTTTGACGGTTGGTTCCGGAACGGTGAGAGCAGTAAAGAAAAACAGTTCGCTTCGCTTATGAGGTCACATCCAAAAAATATCTTTTCGTAACATATCTCTCAATTACAGTAAATCTTGCGAATTAAATTTGTTGTATGCATCACAAAGCGAATGGGGTCGAGCTTATTGGTTGTGGATCGTACCTGTAAATACGTACTGATAACCGAGTGGTCGATCTCCACAGTTGTCTGCGGTGAGTAGTGGGTCGTGTGAGTGAAAGTGGAGAGGAGGAGAGGACGAGCAAGGGAACTAGGAATGCCAGCCCACGGAACTGAAAATCCAATGGGTGTAATAGAGGAATTCATTCTCACATCGGATAGATCTGATGACAGTACCCCTCATCGTCCTATATAAGTCGTCTCCTCGCGGGTTTTTTTTGATCCCATTTTTGAAGAAGCATATCTCCACTCAATTTAACAGTTTTGGTCGCTATAAAAACTATTTGAATCTACTCATTTTTCTTAATAAGACGCATACTCAAATGTCCCGCCCATTCGAAAATGAGGTCTTCTGGAGGTGATGAAATCGTCGAACGTCGTTTCCACATCAATTTGAACACTGAAGCATTTCTTACTCAAGAAGTTGTCGAGATGGTTGGAAAAAGGGGTATTGGTGAGGGAGAGGTCCAGTGAGTACGACGTGTTGAGCGAAGCTTCGTACGCCAGTTTGTCCAATCTTGCGAGGTCGTTTATGGGACATGTGGCTGAGCGCCACCATGAAGGAGGGTTGTTTCATTTCTCTCGGTTGACGAAGTTGGTGTTTCTAGAGCATCTCATCGGTATGCTGGAGAGACATTGGTGTTGTGTCAAATTCACCTGGTTCCAAGAGGTGTGGTGCATCAGTTCCCGTGGTGACCGCCGAATGTTCAGCTCAACTTTGACCTCTACAATTTCGCTTGGGACAACCTCTTTGAAGATTCAACGCGGTCCAAATTTTTAAGGAATGTTTTCCTCTAATCGTTAAAAACTCTGTTATCCTTTGTGGATGACAATGCTTTCCGAATACTGGCAGTTTTTTTTCTAAAGTGAGTCGAAACGACAGCTTAGGAAGACGGTTTTGCTGCTGCTTCGGGTAGCCCATGCGGTAGCCATCTGTTCAGCTTTTTCACCTCCCCAATTATCTTCAGGAGACACAATATTTTCAATATACTTACTCTAGTCCTACTGCTTGCTATAGCACAGTTGGTCCGAATCCATCTTCTACGGGAATCCTTAGAAGCCGTCGTCAACAGCAGAATCATGCTCATGACTCCCCTCACCTTCACGATGGAATTCATTGAGACCAAAATATTGGAGCCGATGCTTTTTTGATGCTTCCTTGGCCCCATCCTTCAGGTTATTTAAGTGGTCTACGAGACACTACGTTAGAGTTTTAGCTCATCGATATGAACTTGCCGGAAGCGCCGTAATGACACCATTTCATTCGAAAAACTTCAAGATAGCAAATCATATTGAAACTCAATACTGAAGGAAAGAAGATACAATAGGCTTGCCAATGATATATAGGGCTTCAGGTCTCGAATGAAATATCAGTATAAAAATATTTCATGAATGCATGGCATCTCGAAACCCGCATTACTTTCCGAACAACCTAATATAATAATTCGCTGCGTATGTCTGTGGGTGTGTAGGTCTGTGTGTGTGTGTTTGTCACGAAATTCATAGCGCGCGTACCAGCAGTCGTCAGGAGTTGATTTCAAGATATGATATAGGGGTGGGACGGGAACATATTTGGTGGGGTACAGAAAGTGATAACAACTGATAAGATCTGATAAGAGGCGCTAGAACGCAAAGTCACGAAATGCATAGCGCGCGACCCAGTAGCAGTGAGGCGTTGTCTTCCGAATATGATGTAGGGGTGGGACGGAACATACTTGATGGGGACCAGAAAGTGATAACAGCTGATAGGGGCTGATAAGAAGCGTTGGAAGGAAAATGTCACGACATTGACAGCGCAAGGCCCAGCAGCACTGAGGCGTTGTTTTGCAGATATGATATAGGGTGGGACGGGAACATATTTGATGGGGACCAGAAAGTGATAACAGCTGATAGGGGCTGATAAGGAGCGTTGGAAGGCAAATGTCACTGAAGTTCTTATCCAGATGTGGGATAAGAAAACATCTCATTTTTGCGATGTAGTCGTGATCCATTCGACCGCTAATCTGCCCGAGCTTCTTAAATGGTCGGTGTCTGTGGAAATACGATAACTATTGGTATTTCTATCTCATCACCGGCATAAGAAGTTATTACCGCTAAACCATCCCAATATCCAAGCATGGTAGATGTTTACGCTAAGGCTAATAATGAGCAGCCTAAGTAATTGTATTAGTCATCCAAAGGTCATTTGGCATTGAAGAACAATGAGACATTACTGCTTTATGATCTGATTTCCTTAATACCATCAGTCAAATCCATTGAAAGCAGTATGTTACTCAATACCATAGCCCAGCTCATTTTTAACCTAGCTTATGTTGACATGCGTGCGAGAGCGGGCTGAGGAAAACTGGTAATACATGAAGCATCTTTTGTGCACACGCATCTCCTCCTGGAGGTGTTGACATCACAAGTGGGAAGGAGTGCAGCTGAAGGCGTAAATCTAACTCAGAAAAGAGGGGTCATGGGGGACAAGGAGGTCAAACCAGATCTATCAACAAGGCATCGAATGCTGGCTTTGCTCTTGTTGACCACCATTATTTCATTAAAGTGTGAACCACCTCATAGATTAAATGCTAATTTTGTGCGCGCTCTCCCAATCCGTATACAGTGACTATGGAAGAATCTTAGATGGAAGTGGCCGTATAATGGAAGGGATGGGGGCAACAACGAGTCGTTTTCTTGTGGTGCACGTCATCAAACTTTTCATACCACAGCGCCGTTCTTGATAAAAGTTTTACAGCAGAACATTCCCTAGATGTCCCCCCCCCGCCATAAGCAAAAGCCGGCTTTTCTTTATTGTCCCCATCGTCTCCAAATACTACATCCTCTGCATCACCGTCGAGTTCAGGGCCCACCGCGATTGCTCCAGCCTGGGACTGCTTCATAATTTCTTGAACCGATTCACTGGTGGACCTCCTAGAGATGAGCCCTGCTGTGCAGACCCTCCCCTTCAAACTAGCGTTGCAGAAAGCGTCTTAATGGTCCATGATCCGTAGAGGACCAAGTTAAGCTCAAAACTGTACTTTGTTTCCTCGGCCAGTCTTCTACTCGGCCAGTTCTTCTAATGACGTCATAGAAGGATTGGCTTCGGTAGTTCCGACGGCGCCCGTCAATTTTTATTTGAGGCCATTCGATTTGAATTTAGCGGAATACTCAATTCCGTTACAAATGTGGAGGGTGGAGGCTTCCACTGTTTTCTTCCTCTCAGGGTAGGCTGATACAGGGTGGCTACTAAATATTGGCGCATGGTTTATTGATCATATTTCCAAAAAGAGAAACTATTATATCTTCAGAAGTTTATTTTTATATACAATAAAACATGAAAATTCATTACCAAAGAAAGTGCTCGAGATGGCCTCCTTTGGTAGCGATACAGGCTTGAAGTCTCTTTTCAACTGACATCACCGTGGGCCGCAAGTAGCTGACGTCGGCGTGACGTGAGTAGATCTTCAGACCAGAAGTGGCGCACGATTTGCAAAACGACAGGCAGTTGTTGGATCTGGCTAGCAGACATTCTGCTCGACCTTGTGTACACACAAGGAACCGTTTTTCAAATTTGTCATGGTTTGGGCAGGAATTACTTCTGAAACCATGACACCGCTTGTCTTTGTGGATGAATACATCAAAGCCAGCGCCCAGATCTACCCGGAAACAATTTTCACGTAATGCCCTTCTTTCCAAGGACTCTTTTGACCTTCAGCGAACGTCATTGCATTCTTCAGCAAGACAGGGCGCCTCCACATGCCGCAAAATCAATGTTGGAGAACTGTGACCGTCATTTTCCAAGTTACCGGGCACAAAATGTTTGGCCATCTAAGTCGCCCGATTTGAACCAATTGATTTGGCGGTGTGGGGTTTCTTGAAGCAGAAGATGCCTTCTGAGCAACGTCGAAGTTTGGACTCCCTGAAGGCTTCCTTGGAGGAGGCGTGGAAGGAGCTTGACGTCAGCTACTTGCGGCCCACAGTGATGTCAGTTGAGAAGAGATTTGAAGCCTGTATCGCTGCCGAAGAAGGCCATTTCGAGCACTTTCTTCAGCAATGTACTGCCATGTTATAAGGTATATAAAGATAAACCTCTGAAGATGTAAAAGCTTCTCGTTTTAAAAATATGGTCAACAATCCATGCGCCAATATTTAGTAGCCACCCTGTATATCTATATATATATATATATATATATATATATATATATATATATTTGGTCTGTCCGTATTCCTGTTGATTCGAATGGACAAAATCGTGATAGGTGAATGCAAATACAGTTCACCGACCGTTTTTTCCCACCGAGGCTATAGTGTGGCTGCTTCAGATTAGAATGGAACCCCAACGGCGACGACCCCCCCCCCCCCCCCCCCCCTCCCCCCCCCCCCCCTTTCCCCCCCCCCCCCCCCCCCGTCCCAGAAGTACAGAAATATCCGTCACCTGAAAGTATGGTGGTAGAGCCGGTGAAACCGTACAGACCGCAAGAACAAATAGAAGTAAGCATTTCGTGGCTCTAACATAGCTGTAATAAGCTGTTCTTAATTCATAAATGTTTTGAGTCACAAACTTTATGTTGTTGCAATTCCTAGATAGCAAATTGAAACACAAGTTAAATAATTAGGAGTCTAAAAATATATGTAATAGTTAATTACGAGTTTATGCAGTGTCCAAAGGAAGAGGTACCAGACAGTGTGACAACAGCGAGAACGACAACAGAGACGACCACAGAAATTGTTACACCACATCAAGTCGAGGGAATAGAGACAGTGAGTGGTAAAAGATATATGTTTAAGCCTGTTACTTTGGGAGGCTATTTTGCCAAACCTGTGAGAAGACAGTCCCCTGCGTGACCGTGCGACCCGATAAGAAGAATAGAGCCGGCCGCAGCTGTGCGATCCGACCGGTGATCTGCCACTTATTGCCGACCCAGAACCACTTTTGCCAGAAGTATGGGAATATCCACCACCTGAAACCTGCGCTCAAAACGCTTGTGGTAAATCCTATGTGAATCTGCTTTCATAACAATGTAGTTCTTTGGGAGCAAATGATCTTTATATTCAATGCCGCCCTTTTTCCATACGTATGCTTGCAGGCGTTTCGTTGATAATGTCGTTCCGTGTGATGTTAACAATTGATACAATGTCTTAAGAGAACTTTTACATTGGGCTTGCTGCTTCAGGTAGACCATGAGCCAAAACCACTTCTGCCAGAAGTACAGAAATACCCACCTCCTGAAAATGTGCTGGTAAAGCCAGTGATACCTTGCAAACCGCAAGAAGAAGTAGAAGTAAGCATTTTGTGGCCGTAATATGCTAAAGCTTTTCACTTCGCATTTTTCTAGCTTAATTTACAGAAGTTCTGAGTCACAAATGTTATGTTATTACAATTACTAGATAGCAAAATCCTTTTATTATATAAAGCGCTAACTTGATGTGTCGGTTGTAGTATGTGTGTAAGTACGTATGTCTGTCCGCAAAATGAAGTGAGAGATAAGGCAGCTGATAGGTAATGGAACAAACAAACCGCTAACAAATCTGGATAGATCGCAGGGCTTGCTCTACACTGCGTCCCATAATTATAACTCCACCTAAGAATTTCCCAAAATCTCACAAATTGAGATGTATAAGAAAAAGTCTGCAATGTAGCATTGTAGTAAATACAAATACGAAATTACCTATAAACATCAACTTCCAACTTGAGACCCAGGAATTTTTTCTAATAATTTTTGTTAGAAAGGCCACTTAGCCGACGTCCCAAAATTATAACTCCACCTCATGTTTTTCTATTATTTTTCACTTCCGTTTCGCCAAACTTTTTTATTGTGCTAACATCCTACTTCTCAAGGGGACAGTATGATAGAAAATGCTGTCTGACTTTTTAAAAGGTCAGCTCGTCGCAAAAACTGTTGAACAACGCTTTCTCGCCAGATTTGGACCAAATTCACGCCAAGCTCAAGAATTTCTTCAGAGGTCTTACACGATATGGAGCTTAGAGAGCTCTAAAGGTCTCTCATTGATTTTCGATAGGAAACAAAGGCCGTGCCACAGAGGAAACATTCGTTTTTAGTAAGCCGTGCTCTGACATCGAATCTTCTTTGAAACTTAATGTCTCAACGGAACATTGTTTCTTGCTTGCGAACGAATCCCAAGTCGATTCTTGAGTGGAAAACTTAGAAGGCATCATCTGTGGCAAGAAACCATTGCGAAAATCGGGCTGAGTTTTCCATGAAGGTGCATCGGAGCTGACTGGAGTAAGGTTCGCTTTTACTTGATATGTTGTAGCATTTGTTTGTTTTTCTTTTCGCCATTTCCTTTCTCCTGGTAGTGTTTCGCGAAGAGAAAAGCTGCTAAGGATAAGAAAGACACGAAAAGAAAAACAAACAAATGCTACAACATATCAAGTAAAAGCGAACCTTACTCCAGTCAGCTCCGATGCACCTTCATGGAAAACTCAGCCCGATTTTCGCAATGGTTTCTTGCCACAGATGATGCCTTCTAAGTTTTCCACTCAAGAATCGACTTGGGATTCGTTCGCAAGCAAGAAACAATGTTCCGTTGAGACATTAAGTTTCAAAGAAGATTCGATGTCAGAGCACGGCTTACTAAAAACGAATGTTTCCTCTGTGGCACGGCCTTTGTTTCTATCGAAAATCAATGAGAGACCTTTAGAGCTCTCGTAAGCTCCATATCGTGTAAGACCTCTGAAGAAATTCTTGAGCTTGGCGTGAATTTGGTCCAAATCTGGCGAGAAAGCGTTGTTCAACAGTTTTTGCGACGAGCTGACCTTTTAAAAAGTCAGACAGCATTTTCTATCATACTGTCCCCTTGAGAAGTAGGATGTTAGCACATTAAAAAAAAGTTTGGCGAAACGGAAGTGAAAAATAATAGAAAAACATGAGGTGGAGTTATAATTTTGGGACGTCGGCTAAGTGGCCTTTTGAACAAAAATTATTAGAAAAAATTCCTGGGTCTCAAGTTGGAAGTTGATGTTTATAGGTAATTTCGTATTTGTATTTACTACAATGCTACATTGCAGACTTTTTCTTATACATCTCAATTTGTGAGATTTTGGGAAATTCTTAGGTGGAGTTATAATTATGGGACGCAGTGTATATGTTTTGGAACCTTCGTATATGATTGTGATAACACCCCAACGGCTATATAAGCATGTACTTAGCACACTTTCGGTCACTCCACACGGTACTTCTGTGGCAGTTAGAGAGCAATGGATGGAGGATGGGAGGATGAAGACAGATGGACAAAAGCAAAGCTTACGCAGGGAACGGAGGTTCCGGCGGTTGCCCGGGGAGTAATCTGGTGGGATCAAATTGACATAAAGTAAAAAATATAGTAAAGTTAATTACGAGTTTGCGACTGCTTTGGAGAGGAGTGAAACCATGAGTATAATCGTGAACGACTATCCGTACAGCTGTCCTCTTTAAATATTTCGTTACAGTATCCAAAGGAAGGGGTACCAGACAGCGTGACAACAGCGAGAACGACAACAGAGACGACCACAGAAATTGTTACACCACATGAAATCGAGAGGATAGAGACAGTGAGTCTTTAAAGACTATGGGCTTTAGGAGGCTATTTCGCCTAACCTGTGAGAAGGCAGTCCCTTGCGTAGCCGTGCGATCCAATGGGAAGGAGGAGAGCCGGCCTCAGCTGGGAGATCCGACCGGCGATTTGCTACTTGAGACCGACCCACAACCACTTTTGCCAGAAGTACGGGAACATCCGACACCCGAAAACCTGCGCTTAGAAACTGTGTGTAAATCAGGTGTACATCTGCTTTCATGGCTATAGCGTTTCTTTCGGAGCAACTGATATTAATATTCAATCACGCCGTTTATCCAGACGCATGTTCGCAGACATTCCTTAGATAGTGTTGTTCCGTGTGCTGTGAACAATTGATAAAAAAGTTTCAAAAGAACTTTTACATTGGGCTTGCTGCTTCAGGTAGACCATGAGCCAAAACCACTTTTGCCAGAAGTACAGAAATACCCACCACCTGAAAATGTACTGGTAAAGCCATGATGCCCTGCATACCACAAGAAGAAATATCAGAAGTGAGTCTGCTGTCGTTGCTGCGTCGTTTTCTTGAAACACCGATGTTTTTCTTATGTCGGCTAGAGATGCTATTAGGTTGGTCCATAAGTCCTGCAACAAATTACATACGATGCTAGAAAATTTTTGTGAGAACTCCGAAAAATCCGCAACATGTTTGCTTACGTAGCATCCACCTTTGCAATTTCAGCCAACCATCCAGATTTTGCGAGGTCTTCGTGCTCATAATTCTTGCGAGTACTGCTTGGAATGTTCCGCAAGTCAGGCTACACCAAGGATTGGCCAGAAGATTTCAACACTGAGCAGAGTGAGATGCCTGTGCACCACGAATTGAGAGAGAGCGAGAACACGCTCTCTCAATTCTTGGTGCACAGGCGTCTCACTCTGCTCACTGTTGAATTTTTTATTTGAATATGATCCACACTCCAACCACCCCGTGACTGACAATCACGATGCTCTATCTGACGCTGTTGAAAAGGGATCTGGATGGAGATCATTTGCAGAGCAATTCCGATGCGACAAGGAGACAGCACTGTGGCATCTCCAAAGACTTGTGAAGATCCGAAAATATAGAGTTTGGTTTGGAACCACGTGCCTTGAGCCCGAATCAGCTCCAAACACGATCTGACATCATCATGTTCAAGTCGACTTACTATGGATTCTTCGATTGACCATCCATCACATTTGCCGAAGATGAGGAGTGGGTACAGTGTGCTAACAAATGAACAAGCGGCGGTAGTCCAGCTCAAACGCTTCGGGAGTTCTTACTGCTTAAGTTCAACCTCGTCCAAGTAGGGCCTTCTCGGATTTTTGGTGGAATACGAGAGGAGTTGAGTTCAACCGTCCACCACTCGAATGCAACGCTTTCACTACTAAAGAAAAACAATGCAAAATTTGCTTTTTTATGACACCCTTGAACCTTTTGCTGAGAAAATCCAGAAAAACGACCTCGAGCCGAAGAATACCCACCTGCATCCTTCTCCAGACCACGTCCTAGAGAAGAAATCTCATCCTAACCATCGTGATGTCAAAATCGACATCTGATCTTTCTTCGATTAGCATTCAGCGGAGTTCTACAAGAGGCATCGAACAGCTTCTAGTGCGTTGGCAATAGGTTGTAGATATTGATGGTGTGTATCATGCTGGATGAATGGAACAAAAAGATAATAAAAATATTAAATCAAAATTCAGCCAGTTTGTTGCAAGACTTATGGACCGACCTAATACAATTTGCTGGTAGCACAATGAAATTGAAAGGTTGCGGAATGATGAGTTTACGACTGCTCCGGACAAGCTTTGGACCGTTTATACTGTCGCGACTGACTACCAGGCCCGTCAGTCTCTGTTGATTATTTTTTAGTGTTCCGAAAGCAGGAGTCCCGCCCAGTGTGACAACGGCGGGGGGGGGTGAGAACAAGCAATCCAAGTACGGACCACAGAAATTATTACTAAACGAGAAGTTGAGCAAATAGAGACAGTGAGTGTTTATAGAGCACCATGGGAGGCTTCTTGCATGCGTTCGACCAGGTTAAATTGTATGCATTAGGTCTTTGATCTAAGCGCAACATGTTTCGGTCAAACATATGATAGGGAATCGAGAAGTGTTGCCACGAGATCTTCATTTTATGTGTATGATACGGAATGTTGCTTCAGGATGAAGGCTGTTCGACTGCTCGGCAACCTACACCAAAACCGGTACGATTTACAGTAGTTTCTCTTGTACGAAAAAAAACTCAAGCATTGTCGAACGAAATTCCCACCTTTTCTTTTATCAAGAATAACGACGAACTGCATATGAAAGCGTCCAGCCCAACCTCGCGCGTACCTTTTCGTTATTAGTCTTAGTAATAACAGTAGCTTTTCTTCCACGTCCATTTCAATCGTACCTAATACTTAGCTCACCAAGCATGCTAGTGATGGTTGCCACTGATTTCATGAATATTCTGAGGCAGTTTGCATTGTAATCTTACCAGACACCTTGATGAAGCAAGCGATTGGTCATTTTATGATGAGGTAAAACTTTGATTAACTGGAAAGTTAATGAGCTCTACCTAGTGGAATTCAAAAATGAGCATCTGATATCAAATTACATTAAAAGCTCCTCTGCTTTAATTTTGAAATTGTACATATGTGGCACGCTCTAGTTACCTTGTACGAATGTGCGCGGTAGCATGAGACAGTTTATATGTGAAAAAGATGAGTGTTTGAGTTCCATCTTCTTTCGTTATGTATTTTTGGAAGACAAATGCTGTAGAGCACTAGTTCTTTGAAGGGTAACACAGCCCAGCGGTGAAGGACCAAGGTGACAAGCATGGGGCAACGCACTGACTCTTACGAGCCATTGCAGCAACCGACTGCGCACAAGTGAACAACCTGGTGCTAACCAGCAACTTAAAGGACGAATCCACGATCAGAGGGAAAATCGAATTAGGAA